CAGCATTAGAGGAAGCCATTACTATGTGCTCATCCAACATGGATAAGGCCATCAGTCAATGCAGTTCGAAGATTGAGGAGGCTGTCTCAATATTGAAAAATTTTCAACTGATTCGTACTCCTAAAAAATAGCCTGTTTTTCAACATTTCTCTCCACATTTTTTTCTTTCAATTGGTCTGTAATATATCTCATACCTATTGTTAGACTGGTTGATTAGTTAAATCTCAGTACCTTATTCTCTCTATTATTATCTTTTTGCTGATGACAAAAAGGGGGAGAAATTATGTGCAGATTTGCAGGTTATATTCAAAGGAAAGAAAGACACAGATATCAACAGAGTTTGCTCTTTCAATCTATGTTTCATGAGCTTAATATGTTTATTCATTTTCAAAATAATTCAAACTGCAAGAAAGTTTTGTCACCATAAAAAACGGGGAGATTGTTGAGGAAAACTCCTATTGATTTTGAAGTTGACAAAACCTTCTATGTTATTGTAAAGCTGATACTTATTCTGAACAAATTTATTCCAGGTCTGTATATTCTGGAAGCTCATAAGAAAGTTATTCAGACTTTACAAACTGTCAAGTATATTTTTGAAGACCCACATAATCTAGGTTCCGAGATTCGGACGAAGTTATTCGAGATGCGATGCGAAGCGAAGTTTTTCGGATGCAAATGCAGACGAAGAAATTATTCGGACGCAAAAATTCTTCGAGACTTGAGACGCAAGTTCTTCGATGCGCACGTAGAATTTCTTCGACGCAAAATTCGAACATAACACAACAACTAGTGATCCGGCATGGATTTCACGAAGGAATGTTTCGATTGTCTCAATCTAAATCAAATTGATTGACAATCAAACATCACGACAGAATGCATTACAACGGACAAAGCTCTACTTATGGAAACCAAGATTCTGATTGTATGGGCGACCAGAATCAGCGGGATTCAGAATCTGTTATCCAACGGCTACTCAATCCTTTGTATACAAATCTGTCCAAGGTGAAGATTGGAAGATGATCCTCTGAATGCTGTCCAACGGCTAGTTTTGGAAGTAGAGGAGTATTTAAGGAGATCAACGAGCAGCTGAAGGAAGAACAGAATCAAGAATCAACAAGTCCAAAGTCTGAGCATACTCCAATCATTTCTCTTGTCGTTCTGAGCAAAACATTAAAATCTTGAGGGACACTTTGTAAGAGTGATTGTGTGAGATAGAGAGTCCTATCATACACAAGAGTGTTAACACTCAGAAGTTGTAATTCCTCTTGATTACATAGTGAAATCCAGCCGGTAGGCTGTAAGCGTGGGAGAGTGGACGTAGGCTTGCTATAAGCCGAACCACTATAAACTTGTGTGCAGATTCTCTATCCCTTATCTCTTACTTTACATTCTGCACATCAAGAGCACCGTCTTTATAATCTGTCTTGAATCTGAATTTTATTCAGACTCTACTGTGATTTATTTTGTTTCCGCATAAATTATCAAAAATTGTTTAAGATCACCTATTCACCCCTCTCTAGGTGATCCTTGCTAGCTACATCAACAAGTTGGTGATTAAAAAATAAATAAACACTGGTAACTAACTCAAATAAGAGTTGGTAACTTAATCGAAAAGAAGATAGTAATCACTATAATTGAAGTTAGTAATTTCTAGAAAGCAATTGGCAAGCAAGGCAAATAAAAGTAGTAACTCAATAGAAAAATTGATAAAATAAACAAATAAATATAAGTAAGTAACTCTAAAGAGAGGTGGTAACGCAAAACTAGTTGATAACTTAATTGAAGATAGATTGGTAAGCTACTCAAAAAGAAGTTTTTAATTTTATAGGGTAAATTTAAGAGTTGGTAAGAAAGATAAATAAAAGTTTGTAAAAGATAAAAGAAACTTTCTTTCTATCGGAAATAAAAGAAATTAGTTATTTAGAAAAACCAATTATATGTCGATGACTAACTTAAATGAGAATTAGAAAGACAAAAATAGTTGGTAATTTAATTGGAGAAAAGTTGATAATCAATCTAATTAAGGTTAGTAATTTCTAAAATAGTCAATAAGTTTAACGGGATGGTAAGTAAGACATAAAAAAGTTGATAAGCAATAGAAACGGGAGCCAGTAAATCAAAACTAGTTGGAAACTTAACAAGAAAAAATCGGTAAGTCACACAAATAAAGCTTGGTAAATTCATGTAACGTTGATAAATCGAAGACACTTTTAAGAATGACAGATAAAAGTTGGTAAACAATAACAAAATTTGACAAATTAGAAATAAACCAAATAAATATTAGTAAGTAATTCAAATGCAAGTTGGTAACCTAAAATAAGTTAGTATTTTAATCGCGAAAAAAGTTCGCATGTCATTCAAATAAATATTGGTATATTGACATAATGTTGATAAATTTAAAGGGCAAAAGGACACTATAAGTGCCATAACTTGTGTACGGCGCTCACTTTGGTGCCATAACTTTTTTTCGGATCACTTTGGTGCCAAGTCGGAGGAAAAACGATCACTTAAGTGTCATAACTTTTTTTTGGATCACTTTAGTGCTAAAATTTTTGAAAAACGATCACTTAAGTGCTAAAATTTTTGAAAAACGAACATTTAAGTGCTAAAATTTTTGAAAAACGATCACTTAAGTGCCAATCTTTCTGCGAGACTCCGGCGAGCCACGTCAGCTTCAGAAATTAATAAAAAAAATGCCATGTCAGATTTCCGGCAAAAAATTGTGTACGGCACCGGAGTTGGCACTTAAGTGATCGTTTTTCAAAAATTTTAGCACTTAAGTGATCGTTTTTCAAAAATTTTAGCACTAAAGTGATCCAAAAAAAAGTTATGGCACTAAAGTGAGCGCCGTACACAAGTTATGGCACTTGTAGTGTTCTTTTGCCAAATTTAAAGCGTTGATAAGAAAGACAAATAAAATTGGTAAAAAAAAATTGATAATTTGTAATTGTCGAAAAAGTTGGTAATTTCACAAAAGTGTTGTTAAGTAACTAACTAACAATAGTTTTCCGACACTTACCAATTCAAATCCATAAGCACGGAAAAGAGAATCCGTTCTTTCTTGCAACGATACGACAGAATCGTGTTGTAAACTTAGGGTTTACTGTGTGAAGTTGAACCAAAACTTATTGCTCTGGGTATTCTAATCTTGATAGTTCTAATTTGTGTTTTGTGTTGAAGCTATTTCCAAACCGTGCTTATCATGTAACGTCAAGAATCACTCCCAAATCAAACCAAACCAGGAAAATTTTCAGGAAGAGTATTATGTGCCGTCTGCCTGCAATGACGCAATGATACATCTTTTGCCATTAGGAACTACATTAGTGGTGTCATTTTCCAAACTGTCTATTAACGTACTGATGCCCACACGCCTTGCACCCCATAATTCCCTTCCTTTCTTTGTCTTCTCGAAAAAGAAGGAATACCCTCTAATTGCTTTACATCCTAAGGACTCTGCGGTCCAAGCGAACCTTTGCATAAAGCCTTTCGAGGTCTTGCTTAGGATCATATTGATACAAGAGCAATCTTGAAAGTTCGTACCTTAGCTACTCAGAGGGTGATAACACCGCTACACTCACCTAGAGCAAATTTTGCAGAATTAAAGAATGCAAGAGACTGCATTGTCTATAAAATGTGATTCCCATACAGTAACAATTTAGTCTGTAATCCAAGGCACAATAGCTTTGCATCCTTAGGTTTTCACGTAAATATTATAGCCGATCAGTCAATGCACGATTTATGTTCGACGCAATGACAAAATGATCGTAAGCTAGAGAATGATCATGGTATAGAAGATAAAGGAGGAAAAAAAACTTCTTACTATGATTCTCTAGGATGGAAAGGTAGCCGAAAGGAATGGCAGCACGTATTATCCAATTTTCTCCATAGAACGGTCGATTCTTTATCTAGTAACGAGCGAGCAACATTGACAGCGGAACCCATAACATTGCCGATGATGTTCTGATCACACACTCCCTCGAAATTTTTACTGCGCTGTGATGTCGGGATTACTTTGGCTGCCAATTTGTCGAGGACAATCTCATAGATTAATTGCTTGCACGGTCGCCGAAATTAATTGAAAAGCATCGACGGGCTTATTGCAGTCTACGATTTCATTGATCACGGAAGAAATTATTAGAGAAAAAACAGCAGAAGCTTAAAGAGGAACTGGATGCGTGCTCTATCCTTGTGATCTGGCAACAAAGGTCTAAACCAGATCTTGCAAAGCGGACGCATGCCGAGGAATTCGTCACCTTGCAAGTAATGGACAAGCAAAGTGATCAAGCATGATAAGAGGCATTGCCCAAATAAGAGGGCATTTTGCTTTTCGGTGTTGAAAGCCCAAAAAACACACTTTGAGTTTCATAGATGCCCGATCATACCTCCTGTCAACATCACTTTATTTAATCAAAATGTAGAACAAGGAAAGAGGACCTGAGCATTTTTGTACCGCACTTTGAGTTTCATTCAAAGCCGAAACGTGCGAACGTTGTCGCGTAGAATCACGTACGATTTTTACCTTGTCTAAGTTCAATGTCTTGTATAGCATAAGTCATAACTTAGTCACTTCTTTGACCTCCAAACTTGACTAAAGCCACCAACATGCCCCACCTAGTGCTGTATGATCCTGTCTGTTCACTAATTAGATCTTTGCTATAGTTGTCCAAGCAAAGAGAATTTTAATCATGTTTTAGCCCGGAACTATTGACAAGTAGGGGAGACCATAATCTCTCCAGATGCTCTTCTCTCGAAGCTGCAGCTGATCCATGGATTTTGACCCATCGAATATGCTCCAATATAAGCAAAAATTTCATTGGTCGAGATTTTGATTTTAATGCTTATAATTGATTGATCGAGCAAGCTATGGTTCCAGAGAAAGAATAAAGCCAAGCCTAGCCCAATGAAAAACGAGCCTGAACGTATCGATATGTAAACCTCCTATACACCTTTTGTAGCTCAAGTTATACATGTATTGGAAAGTGACAACTGACAAACGAGTATGGAAATTAAGTAAAATCAATCGGATTCTTAAGGAACATATCGAATTGAATTTGGTTACACGGTTGTTGATTATTAGGAGCACCCCGAAAACGTCTGGGCCACACAATTGCTAACTTGCATTTAATTAGATCAACAGCTAAATACAAAATCTCAGTGAGAAAGGAGACAGACACTGAGTGCATTACCTTGAATTGTTATGAACTCTCTAGTTCACTTCTTATCCAATCTTGGGAACACATCAGTGCTTGCAAGGTCGCTAAGCTGAGAGAACTGCGGTCCCGGTCGAGCACCTTGCCACCCATGTCAAACACCGACTCCGGGACAACTTTCGACATAGGAGCACCCAGCACATTTCGTGCCATCAGGGACAATATGGGATACCTCGGGGTGTGAACTTTCCACCAGTTCAACACGTTGAAATCGACATTCCGAGGAAAGAGAGGCTCCTCCAAGTACTTGTCCAAATCTGATTTCGTGCCGTCGCTTTGAGACGTTTCGTTGAGGAACTTATCGAACCCAACCAGCCTATCCTTAGCGCCGTTCCCGGGACCCGACAAGCTCCCGGTACTGCCACCAACTTGCCATGCCTGACCATGATGAAGAGTTGATAATGGAGAGCCAATGGAGTGTTCGTTGTAAAGCGCCTTGATTCGGCCACATATCTCATCGATGTGTTCGAGGGAAGTACTACCATAAATTTGGGGGAAGTAATACTCCACCAACTTCATCTTAAATCGAGGGTCCAAGAAGGCCGCGACAGCTAGTCCCAAACTACATTTATCCCAGTACTCATCAAATTTGCTTCTCATCTTTAAGGCCAGCGAACTGATGTAATCGTCTGAACTCTTACACCACCCTATCAACTTCAAATGAATATCGCATATGAGAGGAAAGTATATATTTGCAGTTGGGTATCTGCTTCGGGAGAAATCCTTCATAATCTCCAGAAAGACATTCAAGTAACCGGTAACAGCGCCGGCTCTCTCCCACTCCACATCAGAAGGACAAACCATGAATAGCCGGTCCTGTTCCCTCAGAAGAGAAAATGCGCTCTTGTACTCCAAGGCAACCTCAAGCATCCTGTAAGTCGAGTCCCATCTGGAGCTGTTATCGAGAGATAAGCACTTTTCAGTCTCGATACTTTCTTGTTGGGCCAACTTGTTGAACGTGTCTAACATCGCTTGTGAACTTTTGATGTACCGAATACTTTCCCGAATTTTGTAAATTACCTCCCCTAGCGCTTCCAAGGTATCCTGAACCATCCAATTGAGAACGGTAGCCACACATCGCACTTCAAAAAGTTGGCCATTGCCATAAAGAAACCTGTTCTGTGATAGACGATCTCTGATTCTGAGAACAAAGAAGTCAGAAGAAGAACCATCAAAAGTCATGGAAAACAATTTACGGTCGATGTCCCAGTCCATGAGACAAGTCATGATGACGTCTGCTTGCATGTCATCCGTGTGAGAAGAGTCCACCGACACAAAATTCAGTATCTTCTTCTTCAGCTGCCAAGATTCATCTATGAAATATGCGGCCAAACAGAAGAATCGAACATCACCAGAACCAGCCCAAGCATCAATACTGAGGCTAATTCTTCCAGGCAACTTATCCAAGACCTCAAAAACCTTTTGCTTCTCTTTTTCGTAGATTTCCAAGCAGTCAGCCTCTATTTTATTCATTGTCACAAGCTCAAAAAGAGGCTGCAAATTCTTGACAAACACCTTGAACCCCACATGCTCAACCATATTCAGTGGATAGCCATGTATAATGATCATACGCGCAAGATCAAACTGGCTTCTCCTTTGATCGTAGTTACTATCCACAGTCGCAGCATTTGCATTATCATCCTTCATCTGGTCGGAATCAAATTTGATATCCACAAGATTTAGCCCTTCATCCTTTTTCTGCTCTTGATTAAAGCTGAAATTTGCAATAGCAAGGGGTCGCTCCCTTTTCCTTTCCCTTGCCGGAATGAGTTGAGTGATGTCATGATTAGATCTTCTCTGACACCTGATCAAATGATTTCTCAAATGAGAAGTACCGCTAGTACTTGAGCCACTCAGTCTCTTTTTACAGTGCCTACATATAGCCACGCAGATATCACCTTTCTTGACTCTATCAAAGTCGTTCCAGACAACTGATTTTAATCTGCTCGAATTAACCGTTACTGCATCTGATAAGTCCATCGCATGAACTTAAGTTGGACAATCTGCGGATGGAAATAGAAAGAAGTCAATCCCTAAATCAAAGAAAGAAGTTTGCTAAATAGGAAAGGAAGTTTGAATAATCTAGCCCAATTTCACCAAACAAACAATTCAAACATGACCAAGAATTCATGAAATACAGTGCATCCGCCTCAAGAATTATGAGAGTTCATGCATTTCTCGAGACTTTGGATTTGAATTCAGTTAGACTTTTATATTTAACTTCAACATCTCCAATGTTGCACAAAGCAGATGTTAGAAACAAAATCAATTTCATATTGAGCATAAGCAAATGACATCAGCAACAACAAATCAACAGTTGCTTGCATTTTCGTAAGCCATCAATTTGATTTATCACCGATAGGACGATGCAGGGGAAGTGCATAAGTAAAGGCTGAAGCAAAACAGACCACTTTGTCATGCAGAGTAAGAAAGCAAGTGACACATACGTTGCATAACAAAAATCAGAGCAGATTCCAAGTTAATCATTAATTTGTCAATACAAGCTGGAAGGTCTTTCACTAACAGCAATATTCTGATCAGATAACGGTAAAGGAAAAACAAACCAAGCATTCAGAAGAAATTCGAAGAGGACCAGTCCGTAATTGGTCATTGTTACAAACCATGCATTAAAAAAAAGGACAAGAACGGAAGTTCAGATCCTAAAAGTTGTATGCTTGATAAGACCTGAATTCCATCAAAATCTACCACAACTATGATAGTGCCGGAATGCACCAGTTGCTTCTCTCGTATGGTTTACACAAAGGCAGATTGGGTCCAAGCTACTACTGTTACATCAGCTAACAACCTCCGAGTGAGACTCGTTTCGAATGAAAATACACACACGAATTTGCTCCCTCATACAGATGCCGCATTTCGCAAGTCCGGTTACGATTTAGCAGGGCACTGGCAGTCCCTGAACAGCAGTACCAGGGGGATGTTGGGACATGCTGCATTTACACAAGACACAGAAAATGTCCACACAGTAAGACGCACGCTATACCAACTTTTCCGGGTCTCAGAGCACAGAGCGTCAAGCCCTTTGCCCGAGATTACTTCATCAGAACACGGCATTCCAGGCGCCCCACAGGGATGGGCTCGGATAAACCGAGCAGCCCCGTCTTCATCCGACCGACGTTCTCCTCGCGAAACCGGTTAAACTCGAACAGGATAAACCGAACCGACCTAGGACGCTAACGAATGCTACTCCCTGCTTAAATGATCTCAACACCGAAAGAGTCCACACCATCCTCTACACAAACGGACACCGAAACTAAAAAGCGCCACCACGTTCAAACCATCCTCGCACCGGCCATTGTCCGGTCAAATTCAAACGGCAACATAGACTCGCTTCCTACGCCCACTCAGCGAGAACCGCAAACCGACACCACCCACAGCAACGTAGGAAAGACGGGAGCAAACGAAAGATGAAAACACAACAACGACTCACGACAAGCCGTACGTTAGAGAACCGCCCAAGACGCAAAAGAAAGCGCCACGAAGAAGGGACCCGAGCCGGGTCGGGAAGATCCGAAACCCGCCGCCCCACCATCGCCAGACCGACCCAGCTCGGGAAAAGCACGCGCGGGGATTCGGGTCGGGTCCAGACGGATCGGCTTTAATAGTCGGAACCCAAAGATGGGGTTTCGGATCGGGAGCGGGGCGCAGGGGTCGAGTCGAACTTTGCCCAGAATCCGACCGCCCCGCTCCACCACGCCCGCACAAACAGACAAAGAGAAGAGGGACACGGAGACGACCCGCCCCGATTGGGTTCCTCGGGGCTCCGGCGGGGGAGGGGCGAAAGGGCGAGAGCTTTTACGCGGCGGGAAGCGCGGCCGCGCGCGACGCGAGAAGAGAGGGGGAGGGGGGGACTTACGAGTGCGGCGCCGGCGAACTGCGAACTGAGATTGGAGGGAGAGAGGGAGGGAGGGAGGACGGGAGGGGAGCTGATGCTGCAAAATCCGGGGAACTGCGAAGATGGCGATTTCTAGGGTTTACGCCATTGACGCTTCCGATAGAGATAGAGAGAGAGATGGGGAGGGAATCCGGTGGGGAGGCGCGTAACGGAGCACGGAGGAGGAGATGAGGCGCGAAATTTTTTTCACCTTAGTTTTTCGCCCTCTCTTTTTTTTTGTTTTTTAATTTTCCTCCTCCTTTTTCTCTCTCTTTTGGTCGGATTTTTATTCTCCTCTTTTTACCCGGTTGGGTTTTGGGGGGGAAAAAAAAAAAGAAATGAAGATATTTTCGAAGTTTTCCCCAGAAAAAAAAGGAGGAGCTGAACTGTGTGTTTTTTTTTTTTGCCCCTTCTTCTTGATTCAGCTTAAATCTTGCTTCTTGAATCGAGGTGTGAATTCCGCTTACAATAGATTAATTTTATCTTGCCAAAGAACAAAATCGCTCTACTTTAATGCGGTTCTATAATGGCAGTGTTCGGATCTTAGCGTGTCCCTAAAAGGCTACACCTTGACCACATCGAATCGGCATGCTAAAGTAAAGAACGCATTGATGGAGCTCACCTGATTAAAATAAATATCGATAACAATTTTGCTTTTGAATTGAGGTGTAAATTTCGTTTATAATCGATTGATATTATCTTGCCAAAGAACAAAATCGCTCTACTTTAATGCAATTTTATAGTTAGAGTGTTCACCGTGGAGTTGATGAGGGCATCGATTTGAGGGATATAGTGAAGATATTATTGTTCATTAAAAATGAACAATACAAACAATGAATAAAACTTGCATTATTCTCGTGAAAGAATAAGTGGGTTTGTTTGCGTGAAAGAAATTTTCACGAATTATTTTTGTCGATTTCACGGGTTTGATTTGCTGAAAATTATCAATCAACCGAAAATAATTTATGGTCGAAGAAAAATATGCATGCTTAAAATTACAAAAGTGAATTTCCCAACCTAAAAAAGGTAAAACAGCTTCCCGAAAAATAATTTCTTGAAAAGTATTTTCATTTACCGTAAAGTTTTCTTTGAAACAAAAAATGCTCTGGTTTAGGGAAAATGATTTTTTTTAAACTAAAAACCGAAGTCGTTTTTCCCCCCAATTTAAGCTTGTTGATTTCAGTCAATGTAAAACGTTCTTTTCCTAAAAATTGATCAATTTTCAGTCGTCCATATATCGGAAAGTTGGAAAATAATTTCTCGGAAAATAATTTTCCATCAAACAATGGCCGTGGATAAATAATTATTTTTCTATAGGCAATTTCATTTTTCCCTCCTGCGAGGGAAAAAAAAGAAGGAAAACGCAAATTGATTTTGGTGTCAACAGAGAGTCTCTGTCTCAGAACCTTACTCTGTCGCTCTCTGTGTGCTCTGCTCTCTCTCCCTCTCCTTCAATCTCGCAGCAGAGTCAGGGTCTCTCTCTTCATCTGCACAAGTGTACCTGCTAGTTCTCCCCTCGAATCTTTGGTGTTCGGTGAGTTTTTCCTGGTCAAATTCTGAAATGGGTCCGTAGCATTTGCTGTACGAGCGTGTTGGAATGAGCTCCTGCATATGCCTTCTGGTCTCTGTCTTTCCTGCACGTCTCGCTTCCTTTTGCATTCGCTCGACCATCCGAGAGACGAACCCGGGACATAAGATTGTTGGGTCATTTTGATTCATGGGAATGGGACGAGTTCACGAGATACGAGGCGCTCATCAAGGGAAAAAAGAAGAAAAAAACAGGGTCATGCTTGCTCTGTTATTTTCGATTACGTTGTCTTATTTCTTCGGGTGGCGTTTGTTTTTTTTACCGCTTTTTCTCCGTTCGAGAATTGATTTGCTCGTTAGATAGGTTCAGCTTGTTCTTTCATTTGCCTTGATGACCAAAAGGAAAACGAAAAAGTGACGCTCTGTATGGCCTCGTGAATACCCGGTAGAGGATGGCAATCAGTCGCTTGTGATCATCGAAGTCGAGTGATAACATTTCGAGCCAAGCTCGTGATTCTCGAAGTCTCTCTTTGGCTTGTGCAGTTTCTCCCTGAAAATGGTAATCAACCTTTCAGTTTTATTGTGCAAGAAAATCACTGGAGCAGAACTGAGTCACTTTTTTTTTTTGATAACCGAGTGTCCGCGCGGCCGGCGAGCTAGGGCTCAAACCAGCGGTGATGCCCGACTAGTCCCACTTAAATCACCGATGGGCGAGTTTGAACCAGGACCTCTCGTGAAAAGAACTGAGCGTAAATCAACGCGGCCACCGATGAGTGGGTAGAACTGAGCCACTTTGCTCGTGTCTTAGGACAATTTCTGTGACTAAAGATTGGGGAATTAAAAGGATCTCAGTATGGTTTGACATTTTGGAAGAATATGTTCAAATCGAAGCATCACATCTCTGAAACTTGATTTGTCGTAAATTGTGTGGTTTTGTCCTTTTATGGCTACGTTTGAATCGTATCAACTCCTTCATTTTAGATACATCCAGTTATGCTTGCACTCTTACTTATGTTGTCTTTGGTCCCTTGCGCTCATGATTATTCACTCACCAGGATGTTTCATGTTCTATGCAGTTTTTGTTGTCTATGAGTGAATCTTCTTCTTACAGGGGACAAATGGGTAGAAGAAGTGACGGGGTGTCACTTCATGGTGATGACATGAACATATCTAGTGATGACGAAGAGCTTGTTGACTCTCCAAGCTTACGTGATCTAGGAGAGCCATTTCTGATGGACTTTTGTAGAAAGGCATCCACTGCATTCTTCCATGAGTACGGTCTCATCAGTCACCAGATCAACTCCTTCAACGATTTATGGAAAATGGAATTCAGAACGTTTTTGATTCCTTTGGAGATATTGTAGTGGAGCCCAGTTATAATCCATCAAAAAAGGGTGAAAGCGACTGGCACTATGCACTCGTGAGGTTCGGAAAGGTCACACTTGATCGACTGCAGTTTCTGGTGAAAAGCTAGCCAAATGCGGGAAGGTATATTTGAATTTACTGCCGAGGTATGCTAGGCTCCAAAACATGACATATTCATCACGGATGAAAGTGAACATACATTTTCAGGTGAATATGCGGTTTGTTGAAGGTGCTGAAATTCTAAGAATGCAGGTGTTCGTTGTTTTGCTTATGCATGATTCTCTGCAATGCTCGGTAATGTCTAATAGCCAGCATGCCATCCTCCAGTATTGTAGGGCATAGTCTGAGTTCCTTGCTGCACCTTGGGATAAGTTTTGCATCAGCACTGGGTAAATTGTTTCATAGATTTGATCTCACATATGTTTTTCCCTTGGATAAAAGTGATCTTAGACATTGGTGGAGGCGCTGGACCTCCTAATGCTTCGACATATATCACCAGAAACCTTTTGCACTTGCTTCATCCTTAGAGAATAGATGATGTGTCCTAGATTATGCGTGAAAAATTAATCATTTCAGTGCATTCTGGGGCACCATCGAAGTCTGTTTTGGCAACTGTTTGACCAACTCCAAATATATGGTTAGTTAGCATTGATTCAATTATTTATTGCCATTGTCATTAGGTGTACACCCAGAAACTGGTGCGCAGTGACATTCAAAATTGGGAAAGAACAATTTGTGGAGAACGAGGTGACAAGGAATAAAGATAAAGATGTTGTGGTTGGGAGGATTCCCATCATGGTGAAATCCAATTTATGCTGGATGAGCGAAGCTGAGAAAGGCGATAGTGACTTTGGTCTTGGAGGTTATTTTCTAGTCAAGGGTGCAGAAAAGGTGAGTCCGAAGCTTGTTTTTCATTATATCCCCACATGCTATTCTTGGTTGGACTTTGCGCAAAATTTTGTTGGCTTAGGCTAGTACACAGTGTGCTTTCAATTTAGATGCCACTGTGCACAGCAAGAGTCCTTGACTTTCGATTTTCTGGTCTGTTCTATTTATCCAGAGTGCTTGATATTTTGTCTTGACAGCTTCTTTTTGTTCCTCTAATAAACAAATCCAAACTAGGGTATCTCGTGTTAAAGCTTAATGAGAGAAAGTTCAAATATGTCGGTGCATCACCTTCCAACATTGTTCATGCGTTTGTCAATTTTGAGATTCTGACCATGCAATGAAATTGCTTATAGTGATTTATGCTTGCCGTATCTTGTTTCTCTGCAGACATTTATAGCACAAGAGCAGATCAGCTTGAAGAAACTCTGGATTCCTGATAATCAGGGTTGGACAATTGCATGCAGGTCGTCGTGGAAGAGGAAAAGCTTATATATAAAGCTTGCAGGAAATTGTGATGTTGAATATATCAGAGGGGAAGAAAAGGTTCTCACAGCATACTTTTTGTCGACTGAGATTCCTTTATGGATATTACTTTTTGCCCCCGGGGTGTCATCAGACAAAGAAGTTGTGGAGCTCATTGATTTTGGTCATGATGATTCCAGGGTTGTGAACATCCTATTCGTTTCCATTCATGAAGCTGATGAGAAATATGACAGTTTCCGCAAAGGGGGGAAAGCATTTAGTGAGTAGAGAAAAGCATAAAAAATTGCAAATTTCCTCCTGCAGAATCAATTGGGGAGTGCT